TCCTCTCTTCCTCTGCTTTCACCCCTCAGAGGGAGTGGCCCTCCTCTGGCCAGGCCAGCACCTCTGCCTGTCCCATGCCCTCCTTTCTGTTGGGAGCCTGTGTCCACCATCATTCCTTCTCTGTAACGCTCACCATCTCTCTGTCTACTGGCTCCTTCCCTGCTGCTATACTGAGGTCTCCCTAAGCATGAAGTAACCTTCATTTGACTAGCCTGCTAGAGGCTAGTCCCCTCTTTTTCTTGGCCAGACTCCCAGGAAAAGCTGTCTCTGCTCACTGCTTCCTCTTTCTCACTTCCCTTTCCTTTCTCAAACCATGTAGTCTGGCTTCCAACCTTATCACTCAACTGCACTCTCCAGTCAATCAATATCTCCAATCAATAATCTCTTGTGAAACCTTGTGGCTTTTCCCAACCATAATCATTCTTGACCCCTCTGCAGTACTGGAGCCTGTTGAGGCATACACCCCACCCCTACCTCCACCCCGAATGTTTTATCTTCTCGGGGTTTCTCTGCTGTGTCATATTCCGCGTCAGAGAGGCCAGGACCCACAAGGTCAGAGACGGGGTCATTACACTTCCCATTCCAGCCAGACTGGTCTACTTACTGTTCCCTTCCATGACCCTTTCTCACCCACCTCCATGCTTTTTACAAGCTGAGCCCACAAGACAGGAATGTGTACTCTCTCTCTGTCTCTCTGTTTTTGTCTCTCTCTGTCTCCTCTCTCTGTCTTCTTGGTCTCTCTTCTCTCTCTGTCTCTCTGTCCCTCTCTCTTTCCTCTCTCTCTTTCTCTTCTCTCTCCATATTTCTCTCACTTTTCTATCTCTCTGTGTGTGTCTCTGTCACTCTCTCTTCTCTCTCTCTTTCTCTCTCTCCTTTTCCTTCTCCTTCTCCCTCTCCCCCCAATTCTCTCTTCTCCTTCCCCCTCTTCCTTTTGCTCTCTTCTTCTCTGCCTCTCCCCCTCACTCTCCCACTGTCTCCCTCTCTCTCTCTCCCCTCTCCCTCTCTCTCTCCTCCTTTGAAGGACCACCTTCACATTAAAGTGAGACACTGGAGAAGATTTACTCTAAAATGTTTTGTTGCTTAAAGGGGTTAACTTCAATCATATGGAAAACCTTTCCTCCACAATGTCCAATAAATGAAGTATTACCCAAGTACCATCTCCATATGAGAATTCCAAAGTTTCTTGGTACCATCAATTTATAGCTACTCAGAGGATGAAGGCTGGAGAGCTAGCAGCATCCCTGGAGGTGTGCTTTGTTGGGAAAAAATAAAACATGAAGGACGGAGAAGTGAGTTGAATAGAAATCCCATGACTGGGCAGTGGTCAAGCTTGGGGCATAGAGGAAAGTCCACCAACCTTGGAGTGGCTTGAACCTTCCTCCTGGCACTCACCAGCTGTCTGGCTGTCAGCAAATCCCCTTTCCTCCCTGTGGTCCAGTGTCCTCATCTATAAGATGGGGACAGTAGCACCTCTGTCAGCTCTGTGGTGAAGGTCAGATGGGCCCCAAGAACTGGATGAATGTCAGCTGTTGGTCATAGAGCTAGGAGTGAGCACCCACACCGAGACTTGGGGCCAAGATGGCGCCTTTTGTCCTGGGATCTCCACCTGCCCCCTTGGCAACTTTAAGTCATTCTTCCAAGAAACCAAAAATAATGCACCAAGCAGACTGTGAGCCTCTCACAGGCAGGGACCATGCCACCTGTCCAGCCTAGCCCAGTGCTGGGCATTGGTTCATGGATTCGCTGGTCCTAAATCAGGGGCTCCTTGCCTGGGTCTGTGGGTTTTTTTGTTAATATTATATTAGCTATAATTCCATGGGTGATCCTCTGCATTACAAAGCATTATTGAAAAAAGGCGCCAAGGCCTTCACACACTAGATGAATTCTGAGGGTGTAAGTGTGCAGGGTTGTGGTGGGCGGGGCAGAGGGCATGTCCAGATAGAGGGTTTTCCTTCCTTACCTCTTAACACCAACAGAGACCCACTTAGCCCACATTGCCTTGGAGCAGCAGCCCTGGCTGATCTGCAGACAGTCGGCGAAAGTCTCTAAACATTGCACCAAAAGGTCAGAATTAAGACTGGTGTCCATGACTTTCATGATTTCAATTGCATCCACAGAGCTTTCCCATCCTTAATGAGAACACTTGTTGAAATGACGGTGGATGGGCACAAAGGTGCCAGTGTGTTCCCTCCCCCATGAAGGACCCTCCCCAAGGTCCCTGATAGGTCCAAGATGTGGCTCTGAGCCCACCCCCTCAGGATCTGGACTGAGTGCCCCTCCCCTTTGGGACTGCTACTAGTAACCGTGACACATGTGAAATAGTGACTTACTGGAGGCCAGAGACAGGTGTCCCATCAGATGTGGTTCAGTTGTGACCTGCCTGAGAGTGAGGAGGATGCAAGGATGCTCTGCGCCGTTTGACATTTGGCCTGTCTCCTGACTCCTAAGCAAGGCTGAGCCCGAGCCCCCTAAGTTTCCAGAGAAATGCAAACATACTCTAGCAGCCATCCCTAGAGGCATGGGGTTGGGGCCACACCCCACTACCACCAGGGAAGATGGGAGCAAGGAGCCTTGGGCCAGTGCTGTCCACTGGCTTCTCACCTGCCAGCCAGCTGTTCTGGCCTGTGACTCACACCAAAGCCGGGCTGGTTTGGCCAGGGTGCCCCAGATCATAGAGAAAACTCTGGCTTTGGAGTCAGGGGAGCCCAGCTGAACTCTGTTCCCCCTTTTACTAGCTGCTTCCACCTTGAGCAAGTTCCTTAGCTGCCTCAGCCTCAGTTTCCTCATCTTCAGAACTTCATCCCAACAAACCTTTGTTAGCAGCTTCCATGATCAAGGCAATGCGCTTGGTCTTGGGGGTGAGAATAAGATAAGGAGCTTTTGAGCTAGGATAGAACCTTAGTGGTTATAGCACATCAGTGAGAAGAGCCGTTTCTTAGAGATTGTGACAGCATTTTATGAGTAGGGAAACTAAGGCCCAAGGAGGTTGAACTGGGTGTGAGCTCTTTGGAAGCAGGGATGGCTTCCTTCTTTGTGGTCCCGGTGCCTGGCACATAGTAGGTGTTTGGTCCTCTCAGCACAGTGCCCGGCACATAGTACGTGCTTGGTCCTCTCAGCACAGTGCCTGGCACATAATAGGTGCTTGGTCCTCTCAGCACAGTGCCTGGCACGTAGTAGGTGTTTAATAAATGTTTGTGGATTGGTTGATTGAGCCTCTTTCAAAGGCTGTTGTGAGGCTCAGTGCAGGCAGTGAGCAGGAGTGCTGGGTGAAGGTCAGCTGTGATGAGCAGAGCCTTCCCCATTGGCTTCTGCAGAGCTCTGATATCATTGGAGAGGTGAAGGCGGCCCCTTTTCTCCCCAGGCTGGTCGGGGAAAGTGGCAGCCCCAGACCAACCAAACAACAGCACCCCGACGGCACAGAAGCGGGCTCCTTTCTCTACCTTCCCTCCACTTCTCCCAGTTTAACCTCAACTGTCCACATTTAGAATGTTCAATAAAGGTTGGGAAAAATCAAGCCCTAGGCACGGGAGGGATGCTCAGCCACCAGGCAGATGTTCCCACATTCAGAGACAGCCCAGTCCTTTCCAGACAGCTGCCTTCTGGGCTCCAAATGGAACAGCTGCACCATTGCTTTGATCTCTAGGTCCAGACGCCCTGAACACCCAGTAGTGAGCAGGGTCCTTGGGTAGCTTCAAACTTACCTGCCTCATGGCTTCCCCAGGAGCTTGATTCATTTTATGAGGCCTCAGTTTGCAAGCGAAAAAATGGGAAGGATTTGGATTAAGCGATTCCTTCAAGTGAAGAAAGATCTAGTCCTACTTCCCAATTTTACAGCTGGAGAAACTGAGGCCCACAAGATGAAGTGACTCGTGGAGGTGGAATCCAGATTCGAACTCAGGTTGAATCTGGCTCCAAATCCAGCCCCTTTGACTAGTGTAGCTTAGGTCCTCATTCTTGTCGGGGTTGGACGCCATGTCCAGGAAGGCCCATCACTCTCTGAAATGATGAGGTTCTATGCCCATCAGCCACCTTGGATGTGTATGTACATGTGTGCCCATTATCCATGGACGTGTATGTATGCACATGGGCATACGTGTGTCTGTGGACAAACCTCCATGAGCGGATGAGTCCCGTGCCCGGAGGTGCTGTAAGGGCTGGAATTCGCCTGGCTGGGGAGCCCCACACCTCCCCCATAACCGGGGGGTGTTCTTTGGATACCAAAGGAAGACACCAAGGAGCTCCATACTGATGATAGTAGTTTATCAGTGTTAATAATCAACAGTAATTAGGATACCTAACATAAGAAACAGACCCCCAAAGGAATCATGCGGGACAAGCCAGGTCAGTGGATCCCCGCAAAGAACCCCCCAAATCCCCGGGCAATCATAGAAAACAGACAAAGCCAGGAGGAGCTAGGGGGTGCATGCCCGTGACCGGCGGGTACTTTGGGTTTTCTGCTTAGTAATGAGCTTGGCCATTAAGCCAACGTCGTGCCCAAACATCAGCTTGTGTATCGATCGTGTCCCAGTCACACGTGGGTCACGAGATTCTTGCTATGGCTTTCAGAGGTTGTAGTGCCTTAAGCAGGACTCAGCGACTAAGTTATGAGCCAATATCTAAGTTATGATTGCTAACAGGTCACCATGTCTGGCTTCCACCTTTTACAAGGTTTAAGTTTTTGACCTTTTCCCTTCTTGCTGTATTTCGGGGCTTTTTCCCAATCAGGACCCCACAGATGCCCAGTTGATTGTGAAAGAATGATCCTCAGCTTCCCAGCTGTCCTGGCTTCTTTTATGTGCCTTGTTCTAGGAGGGAGAGGCCTAGAGGGGCCTGAGGGGAGACACCCCCCCCCTTCACCCGGCACACGGCACAGCGGAGGCAATGATGGAAGCCGGAGTCTCTGGGGAGGCTGCGCTGCCCCGGCCTCTAGAAGGCTCTTGCCCCGACCCAGACACGCCTGCCAATTAGCCCGCAAATAACTGTCATCCTCCGACCCGCAGGTAATGCAAGTCGTGAAGGAGCAGATCATGAGGGCTCTCACTACCAAGCCTAGCTCCCTGGACCAGTTCAAGAGCAAACTGCAGAACCTAAGCTACACGGAAATCCTGAAAATCCGCCAATCGGAGAGGATGAACCAGGAGGATTTCCAGTCTCGGCCGATCTTGTGAGTTGTTCCTGCTCCCTTCCTCTCCCCCAAGGCTGGCACCTTCACCGCTGCCAGGGTCCAGAGCACAGCGGCCAAGGGGCTCCCCAAGGGCCGGAATCCAAGAGCTGCACGGGGTGTCTGTGTCTGTGTATGACTCTGCATGTACATGTGTGTGCATCTGTGTATGACTCTGTGTGTATGTGTGTGCCTGTGGGCACATGTGTGTGCATCTGTGCATGACTATGTGTATGCATGCATGTGCATGTGTGTGTGACTGTGTGTTCGTGTGTGTACCTATATATGACTCTGTGTGTAAATATATGCCTGTGCACATATGTGCATCTCTGTATGACTCTGAGTGTATGTGTGTGTGAGTGCATGGACATGTGTGTGCGGGGTGTATATATTTATATGACTCTACAGGGGCCAGCCTGGCTTGGGATAAGGGCATGGACTTGAAGTCAGGAGGCCTGGGCCTGAATCCCAGCTGGCTGACCCTGGGCCAGCCCCTTCACTTGCTCATGCCTCAGTTTCCCCATCAGTACCTAACATAGAAGTGAGGATCCTTCCACTCCACCCCAGGTTTGTTGTAGACAAAGTGTTTTGTAAGCCTTGGGATCCCCGGACAGCTTGTGCTCGCCGCCCCCCAAACACACCCTGTAGAATAGAAGCTCACTGAGGTCAGGGAAGCCTCCCTTTGTACTCGGTGTCGCTGGCCAGGCAGAGTCTCTGGGCCTCTCGGGAATGCTTGCTGATTGACTCAAAACATCGCCCTCTCCGCTGCCTGAGCGCCCCCACCTGCCCGCCCAGGGCCCTGCAGTTGAGAGGGCGCATTTCCCCCAGGAGGGCACACCCACCCCTGTGGTCACCCAGTGTTTAGTGTTCTCGTGCCTTTTGCCAATCCCTCTCCAGAGTGTTTGGCTTTAAAAAAAAAAAAAGGCTTGACCCTTCCCAGATTCTTCCCATGTCTTGTTTTTCCTCTGTGAAATTCTGTTCTGTTTGGCGCCCTTTGCAGCCTAAGATGCCCCCTCACTGATGGGCTCAGAGAAGCCCCCGACAGCGTGAGGAGTTGTGTTGGGTAGCTCTGTCCAGGAGGAGCAGGGTCAGGGGCAGGGGACTCTGCCTTCTCTCCACCAGACTCCCACCTGCCTTTCGCTGGCTGGTAGAGAAGCCTCTTCTCTGAGGCAGATGTTCCCACATCCAGGGACAGCCCAGTCCTTTCCAGACGGCTGCCTTCTGGAAGCCAGCTGGAACAGCTGCACCATTGCTTTGTTCAGAAGCCCTGAACACCCAGTAGTGAGCGGGGTCCTGGTGGGCTTTAAACCCACCTGCCTGGCGGCTTCCTCGGGGGCTCGGTTCATTTTATGAGGCTTCAGTTTGCATGTAAAAGAATGGGAAGGATTTGGATTGAGTGATTCCCTCAAGATCCTGGGAGGCCTGACTGATGTGGCTGGGAGCTTTATCCCTACCCTTGGAGAGGCCGAGCACTCAGAGACCCCCACACTTACTCTCTGGGGGCAGCCTCTAGGCCTCTCTAACCCCATGTTTGTGCCATTCTGGGCATCTCCTCTCCTCTACGTGCAGCCCCAGGACCACGAGCCTTCCAGCTCTGTGCAGGACTGGGGCAGAGCAGGGCTGAGGGAAAGGGAAAGGGCTGCCTCCCACCTGTGTTTGGCACATGCACCAGGAAACCTCCCAGATGGTGGCACAAAGTTCTCCCTGGGTTTCTTCAGGAAACCTTTTCCAAGACCAGACAGAAGATCCCGAAGGGTGGAGCCCGGGAGCCCAGAGCTGGACTGGTGGGGAGCTCAGCAGGAGGCCAGGTCTGGAGGCCCCAGCATTAAGTGACTTACCCAAGGTGACACAGAGAGGGAATGATGCAGACAGCATTAGACCCAAATAGTGTATTGTACTGGCTGGTGCCTGGGTGTCAGACATAAGAGGAACTCCATCCCATATCCTTGCACGAGATAATCATAAGAGCCATGGTTTAGAGCTCACAGGGCCTTGGGGAATCATCTTGACCAACCCCTTCATCTCACAGATGAGGAAACTGAGGCCCAGAGCCATGAGGCAATTTGGCAACAGTCCCACAGGAAGTAAGTGGCCAAGCCGGTATTTGAACCTGAGTCAGTGACCTTCTTGACAGGCTATGTGTGATCTGCTCTATACATTCAAGGTGATTTTATCATCCTCCCTAATACAGTAGCTGGAAGGCTGGGCCCAGAGTCAGGAAGACTCAAGTTCCAATACCACTTCGGATGAGTGGCCCTGGGCAAGTCACTTTACCTTGGTATGCCTCAGTTTCCTCAACTGTAAAATGGGGTGATTGTAGCACCTGCCTCCCAAGGTTGTTGTAAGAACCACAAGAGATAATATTTGTAAGGCGTTTAACACAGTGACTGGCACACAGCAGGCACTATTTAAATGCTGTTGTGGTGGTGGTGGTTATCATGATTCTTTAGCTAGTACTTAAAACCAGAAGGCAAGATTAAAGGATCGTGTTTGAGGCTGACCCAAGTGATTTTCAGTGACTCTGCAGCCAGGACTTTGTTCCAGGCCATGCAGTGACCCGTGCATCTGTGCTGTTCCTCTCGCTCAGCACCTCCTAAGTGTCAGAAGAAGGCTGTCACCCTCCTGGTTTCCCAACCCTCTTTCCAGTTCAGACACTAGCTGGTGCTTCTGTGGCTTCGGTGAAAATCCGTGCAGCAGAGAAGCCCCAAAGTGTGGGTTTATTACAAAGGAAAAAAACAAGAAAAACACAGGACAAGAGAAAATGTGGCTTCACCTTTGACAGTTAAAAGTGCGCCTCATTCATTCATTCACTCACTCACTCACTCAATATTTATCCAGGACCTGCTGGGGGCTGGGCACTGTCCTCCTACTCACAGAAACCACCTCACAGTGTGATGGAGATGCTTGTGTGAACAGCCTATGATTTTGTCAGTGAAGAACTCCCATCATGGGAAATTTCTTCTGGTGAGATAGTGCCCTCCCTGAGGGCATATGATGACTCATGTGGCTTACTCACCAAATGCCGGGCAGGTGCCTGAGGCATTAGAAGCTAAAGGATCCCCAAGGAAGCCTGGCTGGCAAATGTCTGAGGGGGATCTGAGCCCACATCTTCCTGACTCCTAGCTCAGCGCTCCCTCCATTACCCCAGGCCATCCCTGTGATGGAGCTGAATACCACACGCACTCTCCCTCCCCCCCCAAAAAAAAAGAATGAAAGAAAAAATGGGCAGAGATGTATTTGAGTTTTAGAACATTCAGGGGACAAAATCCCCTTCTTGTTAACAAAGTAGCAAGGACCGCCCAGGTTCTGCACCAAGAATGCGTACTGTCCTGTCCTGCAAAACCTCTGACCAACACTTACGTCTCCTCTAAGTCAAGCATTCAGTCAATAAACATTTATTAAGCACCTACTATGTGCTCGGCACTGTGCCAAGTGCTGGGAGCTGTCCATTGTAGAGAAATTGGCCCTTTTGGTTGAATGATCAAAGAATGAGCAGATACTGTTTAGGAGGAAGTTTCCAGCAGGTCTGGGGAGATAGAGCTTTCGCTTTATTTCTTGGTCTTTGATTATTTTCCTCAGAACAGTGCCATTAATTACTTTCCACTTCGGGAGTTTTAATGAGTAAGGGAAAGACATCCAACACTTAGTTCCGATGTTAATGGGCAGAAGAAGCTGGGCTAATGAAAACAGCATTTGGAAACCATTATTGTCTTGTCTTGATGGCAGACAAGCCCCGTGGCGTGGCCAAGTGGGAGGTGGTTCAGATCTCTAGCAGTCAGGTTAACAAGTGAATGGAAGAAACCCCAGACCAGGCCAGCTCTTCCTTCTGGACCAACCCCAGCTCCCCCTGATATACAGACAATGACATCCTTTGATGACCCAACACCAATAGGGCATAGGCATAGGATTGTTTCTCCATGGGGGAGGATAGGGCCTTTCTTATCATAGCCTCCTTTGGCCCTGGCTTCCACATGGGCAGTAGCCTTTGTTTACCATGCTTCAGTGAAGGGTACAGTCTACAGCTAGGCAGCAGAGCAAAGCCAAGTCACCCACATGGTCATTCCAAACCCATGACTTTGGCTTCATCTAGACCCCAGTAGGGTTTTTCTTGGAACATGGCTTAGGTATAGCCCAGCCCAAAACTTGTGCCTGATCTGGTCCTGTGGTCCATACACTTTTGAGCTTTGTACCTTTTTATTTTAGAATGGACATCTCTTCCATATCCGTTTCTGCCAAATTGTCTTCTGGAGTCCTTTTGAGTTATAGGAATTAAAAGGTAACAGTCCTTAGAGCAGACTGTTCAGTGGACAGTCTTCCTTCCAAGAAGACAAATCTTAGTGGACAACCTGGATGTAAAAGAGAACTTAGTGATGGCATCTAGTGGAAGAGAAAAGAGGGAGTGTGTGAAGTCTGAAGACCTGGAAGTTAATGCCAGATGGGTCAGCATGATATGGCTGTTGTGCTTTGTTCTCGAAGAGGACCAAAAGGACATCACTGTGTCAAGGTCAGGGCTGAAATGACATCACTGTGTTGATATCAAGCTACATTGTGTCCAACTGTGGCTGATCAGACCAGTACAAGCTCAGAAGGCTTTACCACAGCTTGGGCACAAACAGTCCTTATGAATATTTGGAGTAGAGATGTCTCTAAGCTTATGCATCTCATGCTTCTTTTGAGCTACTCCAATTCTGCTTTGCTCATGGAGCATTGTGCCTTCTTTGGTGTGAGCACACCATGCTGGGCAGTTCTATGCCACACCTCCCATGTCTCACAATCCATTCAAAGATCTTCAGAGAGACGTCGAGAGGGTCTTTGTATCACTTCTGACCTCCATGTGAGTGCCTGCCTTATATGAATTCTCCCTAAAGTAGTCTTTTAGGCAAACGTGCATTTGGCATTCAAACATGGCTAGCCCATCCTGCTGTGAATACCTCTGTCAAGTGCTAATATCAAAAAAATTAATTAAAAACTATGTCTCCTAGGAAGTGGGTTTCCTGGCTTATGGTATCTCATTAGCTTCTGCCCCTAAATTAATCTGTTTCATCCAGGATAGATAGACCAATAGATAGATGCTGAGATAGAAAGAGAAGGAGGAGAGCATCTATTAAGCACTTAATGTGTGCCAAGCATTGTCCTAAATACTGATAAGTTTTGAAGTAGAGAAGATCATCAGTAAAAGCTAGAGTTCTGCACCATCGATGAAGATGGGAAATTCCCCAACTCTTGGAATGACGATGTTTCTCCCACACTCAGGTCCTGCTTTCCTCACCATTGCAGTGATTTCCTGCTGGGTGTGAGGCTGTGCGTCACTCCCTAACCCCTCCTCAACCAGAGCCAAGGCTGGCAGAGGAAGCCAATTTGCTGAGTCCATTTTCCCAACAGAAGAGCCGATAATAAATCACTTCCATGATGGTGATCAGGGAGCCTGAGATGGAGCCCCGAGGGGCCTTCACATCATCAAAGGAGCAAGCCAGGGATGGCAGCTGCATCTCCACATCCCACTCCAAAGATGGACAGGCATCAGCATACCAGACAACAGGAGCTAGTGGCCAGGCACTCCCAGAACACATTCTCCAATGAGCGCAGTGCTTTTGTACATAAATGTCAGCCCAGGGTCGAATGTGCCCCAGGAGCTCACTGATCACAGTCAAGTAGCACAAGGTTAGCTGTTGACTACTGTCAGTCAACAAGGATTTATTGAGCACATACTGTGTTCCAGGAGCAGCCAGGTAGCACACAGGTGGTGTGCAGGGCCTGGAGGCAGGAAGACGCATGTTTGTGAGTTCAAATCTGGCCCCAGACACTTCCTAGCTGTGTGACCATGGGCAAGTCACTTCATCCTGTTTGCCTCAGTTTCCTCATCTGTAAAATGAGCTGGAGAAGGAAATGGCCAACCACTCCAGTATCTCGCCAAGAAAACCCCAAATGGGGCCAGAAAGAGTCAGATACAACTGAAAAAGAACAACAACAAAAATGTTCTAGGCACTATGCCAAGTGTTGGGGATAGAAAAAAGCTAACACATCTCCTAGCCTTGAGCAGCTCACGTTCCAACAGAGGAGATAACTTGCCAACAATCAGGCACATGGAAGATCTAGTTCAAGTGCCAGTGGGTCACCTTTGATAGTGAGGAAATGGTGATCAGATGCCACCTACACTGCAGGGAGGCATTCAGGGTCAGCCTGGATTCCTGGGGGCCCTGGTATTCATGGCGTTGGAGTTGGTCTGAGGGTGACTTCACCTCTGGGGGATCCTCAGGAGTCGCTGCGCCTACAGCCAGTCTAGGGCTGAGCCTGTCCATGCTTGAGGAGGTTGACCCCCAGGGACAGTCACACCACCAATGGCCAGGCCCAGTGGAACCCGCCAGTCCCTCAGCCTCATGGGACCTGCTGTGGCCATCGAGAGCTTAGGCAAGTGAAGGATCACGTTCAGACCTGAGTAGGGGGTCAGGCTATACAAACAGCATGTTCTGCAGCAGAATGAAAACAGTGTGCCTTAATTAGAGGTCCTCAGGGACACACAGGCTCAGAGAAGGAGGGGACAGGAGATTTTATTTCTCATTTTTATTTTTTTACTGTTCAAAGAAACTCTTCAAGTCTGAATTTAAATCAATTGACAGGCATTCATGAAGCATCTACTATGTGCCAGGCACTGTGCCAGGCTTTAGGGAGGCAAATGCAAAGAAGGAAACGACTCCTCCTCTCAAGTAGCTAAAGGCTGTCCCACACCGAAAGTGTGGCCCTATTGAATGGCACTGTATGAATTACTCACTATTTCTAAAGTGCTGATTCAGGTGACTCTACACCATAGAACTCTAAACATCTTAGGCAGTATGATCATAGCACATTCATGTGGTAAAGTGAAATCTGCTTTCTATTTGGGGGAAAGGGAGTTGCATTTTTTCATTTTAACAAATTTTTTTCTGGTAACAGATAGTCCTGTCGTGAACAAGAGTTAGGGGCCATCAGCCAGACGGCATGGGAGCCAAGAGTGACTGAAAGGCCCAGAGCTGAGCCTCTTGCTGGTTAGAGCTTCCGGAGGATTTAGGAAAAAACAGATGGGCTGCTATCTGCACTGGTGCACAATGAGATAATGGAACCATTGAAGTGCCAAAACATTACATTCTATTAACTCAGAATGTGTTGGCAAGCAGAATTCACTTCTTCATTTCCTCAAAGTGCTGTGGTCTGGGCTCTCCAGAGGCACCGATAGTCCCATTTTAAAGATGGTCAAACTGAGGCATAGAACAAGGTTTTATTACTAAAGAAGAAATAACGTTGTCTCTGAATGGGATTAGTGTTCACAAGCACCACTAGGTGGCGCCACAGTGCATAGAGCTCTGGAGTCAGGAAGACCCGAGTTCAAATGCGACCTCAGTCTATGTGACTTGCCCACCCTAGACCAGTCCTTAACAACCTGGTCTGCCTCAGTTTCTTCATCCATAAAATAGAAATTAATAAAAGCACCTGCCTGTCAGGGCTGTTATGAGGCTCCAATGAGATCATTGTTAAGTACTTTGCCAACCCTAAAGTGCTATTGAAATTCATGGTGGTGGTAAAGGGCTATCCATGCATTTTTGTTCTGATTAACACGTGCAGTCTCCTAGTTTGCCATCTAGAGCAAAAGAGAATGTTGAAAATATGGAATTTATTTTTATGTGTTGGTACATTTAGAAGAAGAAATATTCTTAGAGACTCACCCAGGGTGTCCCAAAAGTCTTATGCGGTTTTAAGCTTGAACGCTGAGGGGAGGGATGGGTGGTGGGATATGTGTGTATACATGTTGTTGGGGGGCAGAGTGATTATTTTCCCAGGAATTTTGGGAAGGGAAAAAATGAACAGAAGTTGCAGGTGTTTAAGAAATTCGAGCTGGCTTCACTGGGGTCTGTGGTTGGGCAGGTTCAGCCTCATGGTTCTGCAGACCCAGGGGGGATGTGCAGAGAGAGACAAAGTTCATGGTTTCTGTCTCAAGAGGCTAATCCCTTGTCCATCCATTGGGGAATGGCTGAACAAGCTGTGGTGTATGAATTTAATGGAATACTATTGTTCCATAAGAAATGATGAGCAGTAGACTTCAGAAAAACCTGGAAAAACTTGTGTGGACTGATGCTGAGTGAAGTGAGCAGAACCAGGAGAATGTTGTACATAGTAACAGCAACATTGTGCAATGATCAACTTTGATGAAGATAGATAGATAGATAGATAGATAGATAGATAGATAGATAGATAGATAGACAGACAGATAGACAGACAGACTTAGCTCTTCACAGCAATACAATGATTTAAGATAATTCCAGAAGACTCAGAATAGAAAATGTTATCTACATCAGAGAAAGAACTACAGAGTCTGAATGCAGATCAAAGCATACTATTTGCTCTTTTTTTGTTTGTTTGTTTTTCTCGTGGTTTTTAGATAGATAGATAGACAGACTTAGCTCTTCTGAGCAATGAAAGCATCTAAGACGACTCCAAAAGACTCATTATGGAAAATGTTATCTATATCCAGAGAAAGAACCATGGAGTCTGAATGCAGATGAAAGCATACTTTTTTCTCTTTTTTGTTTTGTTTTTTTTCTCGTGTTTTTTTTTCCTTTTGTTCTGATTCTTCTTTCACAATGTGACTAATATGGAAATATATTTAATATGATTGTACATGTATAGTCTGTATTAGATTTCTTGCCATCTTGGGGAGGAAAGGAAAGGAGAAAAAATTTGGAACTCAAAAATCTTATAAAAATGAATGTTAAAAACTCTCTTTAGGGGGCAGCTAGGTGGCACAGTGGATACAGCACCAGCCCTGGACTCAGGAGGACCTGAGTTCCAATCTGACCTCAGACACATAACACTTACTAGCTGGGTGACCCTGGGCAAGTCACTCAACCCCACTTATTGGTCTCAGGGGGAGAAAACTCTCTTTACAAGTAATTGGAAAAAAAAATGCTATTAAGTGGGAAAAATATTTTTTAAAAGGAGATTAATCCCTGAATCAGTTGCCAGGATTATAAATCTAACCAAACTTTGCTTCTCAACCTATGCTTTGGATTTGGGAGCTTGGGATAGGAGAAGAATATTTTATCACTGTATTTATTTCGCTGTTTAATTAAAATGTCATGGGTTGGTTTGTTTTGTTTGTTTGTTTTAACGTACTATAGGTCCTATGGCAGACTGGTAAAAGTAAAACACATTGGTGGGGGCTCATGAACTATTGTTTGGAAAGGATTCTGACCCATAAAATACCTAGAGCCTGGGGCAGCTGACTTGGGGGGAGGAAGTGGGAGGAGTAAAGCACTGACTTTAGTGACCATCACCCCCTACATTTGTTCTGTATTTTCTATTGGCTTTTACCAGGGAACTGAAGGAGAAGATCCAGCCTGAAATCTTAGAGCTGATCAAACAACAGCGGCTGAATCGCCTTGTGGAGGGCACCTGCTTCAGAAAGCTAAACAGCCGGCGGAGACAAGGTATCTGACCACACTCTAAATAAAAACCACTAGAGTAGTGTGCTTCCCGTAGCCCACCAGTCATGATGAAGAACAGGCCAGGCCACTGGGCTCCTTTTGGGACTGGGGGGTGCCTGGAGGCAAAGTCCGGCAGGTAGACCTTAGGGCAGGGTCAGTGGACTCAGAGGAGAGGGTAAATGCTCTGGGGCTTCATCAAGGTGTTTAATAAGGTCTTTCACATCCTGTGGGCCCCGAGTGACCAGGAAGACAGACTGAGCATAATGATGAATGGAAGGACGCTCAGGGCAAGGGCAGTCTGTAGCAGAGTGGCCTGATGATCTGGGCCCACTGGTGGATGAAAGCATAGATTGTGGCCTCCTCAAATTAGCAGATGTCAGAAGCTAGGAAGGGGAGCCAAAATTTTGGAATGAAGAATTGGGATCCACATAGGTTCAGTGTGGCCAGGTCTAATAAGGTGAAGCATCAGGGTGACATCAGTAAATGTAAAACCTTGGATGTGGGTCCAAGAAAACAATCTCACAAATGCAAAATGGATGAGACCTGGCCAGAAAGCAGTTCATGTGGAAAAAATCTTGGAAGCCCAGGGCACTGCAAGCTTCATTTCAGTTATCAGTGACTGATAAACCACAAAAGCTTGTGAAATTTTAAACTTTAATACTGGAGAAGTAGAATGATCAGAATGGAGGAGGGGCAGGAGGAAAACGTGGGTGGTCCTGCTGTCCTCTGCCCCACCCAGGTCACATCTGGAACATTGCAGCCAATCCCAAGGGCCACACTTGAGGAAAGACATTGACCAGCTGGCATGGGTCCAGATGAGAGGGACCAGGACATTTTGGGGACCCAACACCAGGCCATGGGAATATCCGTTATGGAAATGGGACATGTTCAGCCTAGAAAAGGGGGGCCTCAGACTGTAGGGCAAAAAGCAGGGCCCAGGGATTGGAGAGCGGTCATGTGGGGGATGGACTGGACCTAGGACTCCCCCTGAGACCAATAAGTGGGGAAATAGCCCTGGCTCTGGAGGTGGAGGACCTGGGTTAAAATCCAACCTTTGGCAGTGACTGGCTATATGACCTTCCTGGGGCAAAACTATTTCTCCAGGCCTCAGTGTCTTTACCTGTGAAAGGAAGAGGTGCAACTAGATGCCTCTGGGGCCCCTTCCAGCTCCTAGGATGTAGAAATACCGATTTCACCCAGGTGTAATCATCACAACTGCTCAGAAGTGGGAAAGGCCACCTCTGGAGAAGGAGACTGTTGTCATGAGAGGGCTGAAGGGTACCTCCCAGGTGGGACTGGCATTCCCTTACCAGGCTCATTTCTATAGGGCTGGTGCCCACCACCCTCTGGCTGTTTTTCCTGTGACATGTTCCCTTAGGACTTTACATGGTGGGGGGCTCTTATACAATTCTGTCCATTTTTGTACACTTCTAGAGCAAAGCTACAGCCCTGTAGAATGAAGAGTTGGGAGGATTCAGCAGGAAAAATCTGTTCTCATTCATTGAGAAACTCTTGAATTTTCCTCTGAGAAGCCTTGACCCCAAAGGTCATATCTGTGAAGATGCCCGAGCCACCTCCTAGTACAGACCCCCATCCTCTCATCACCTGGTTCCAACCCCAATACCCCAATCCCATGGGAATGCAGGACTTGGATAGCTGGGCTCAGAGCAGGAGGCTCGGCAGAATTCATGGCTGGGTCCAGCCCAGCCCTCCCACCAATTATATTCAGGGGATGTTGGGAAGGGTCAGGTACGGCCCAGGGCACAGCCTTCTGTTCCCAGGGGCAGGTAGCAGCACTTTGGGCTGCCAGGTTTGATTGCTTGGTCCCAGGAGAGGAAAGATGAAGGAGGCCTGGGCGGGTTCTTTTGGAAAGCTTCCTTTTCCACTGCATTCCCTGACAAGCCCGAGTCCTCATCCCTCTAGTAGCCTGGCAATCGGGAGCAACGGGCTCTGGGTCTGCTTTGCTACAAAATCTGGCCCATCTCCAGCAAGAGGCTTAATTATTCTGGGCCTCAGTTGCCTCATAAATAAAGTGAAGGGATTGGGCTAGACCCTGGCTAAGGTCCATCCCAGCTCTAACACAACTGGGTGTCTAACCTAGTCCGGTCACCTAATAATATTAAAATCTCCCTCAGCCTTTAAAAAACAGCAATTCTTTCCTGTTCTTCGCTGTATTGTGGGGCAGAGGGCCTGAGGTCAACCCTGACCGTGTGGCCTCGGGCATCTCTGAGCCTCTTTATCTGTAAAATGAGGACGTCGGACCAGGCCTCCTTGAAGGTCCCTCCCAGCGCCAACGTTCTAGGGCTCTTAACCAAGTCAAACCCGGCTCCTGGGCTCCCGGGCTCCCATCCGCTATCTCCCTCTTAGCATCCTATGCCCTAGAGGAAGGGCCGTGCAGTAGGCATAAGCCAGGCCCGTTCCCAAATCCTGGCCCTCCCTGACCATCACCCTTGTGTGCGTGGAGGGGCACCCGGGCAACGGCGCGCCTTGTCCTTCCACATTTGTTCTCACAGCTGTGACGGGGTCCCTCTGAAATGCTGAGACGCGTACAGCCTTTCCATCGACCGGCACCGGTTGTGAGCCGGCCTCTGGGCTTGGTGCAAAAAGACCAAAATGAACTGGGCCCTGCCCTCAGGGAGCTCCGCTTTACCGCATTCACCGAGAAGCAGAGGCGGATGATAATGTTGGGGCGGACAGCGACAGCCAGGGATAGGGGGCCGGGGGGGGGGGGAGGGTCGGAGCTGAGCCTAGCAGGAATCTGGGGACTTCTGGAAAAGCGCGTTTCCAGATGCAGCAGCTGTGGAGGCTGTGTCAGTCACCTGTGACTCCTCCCCGTTTTCTATGTCGTAAATGGGAACACGCTGTCCCAGAAGCGCAAGAAAACACATTAGGCATCTCGGGCGGCTAGGCTGTCTGGGGTAGAAGGGGAGATGAGTGGAGACATTTCCCCGATGGAGCCACCACGCATGTAGCCAGTGGAGACCAGCCACTGGCTGCTGAAAACCATGGACCCACATCCGCCGCGGCGTCTCCAGGCTTTAATCAGGGTTTGCAGGTGGGTGAGGACACGCCTAGGCGTGATTCCTTAGGGAAAGGTGGATTTTGAAGCAAAGTTCCATCAAATAGTAGGCTTTCTTCTGCCTTAATTGGATGAAAAGCCCCAGGGAAACCCCTGGAGTAGAGCTCCACCCAAGCCAGACATCCATGGGCAGGTGTAGACTGGGTCAGTGGTTGTCAGCTCAGTCACTGAGGCTGGAGGGGGCAAAGGGAATAAGGCCTCCAGGCTGAGGGACAGAGTAGGGTGGGGTGAGGAAGCTGTCCACCCTTGTCCGAAGCTCTGTCCAGCAGCCTGTGAGGGTCTCCAAAAGAGTTCAAGGGGAAGGCGGCCATTTGAACCTGGGATGGCAGGCCTTACAGTGACCTTTTCTAGGGACTTCTAACCTTGTTTGTGTCTGGACCTCCCTTCCCCCGGCAGTCTGGAAACACCTACAGACCCCTTCTTTCTCAGGAATCATGTTTTTAAAGACATACAATGAAATACATGAGGTCGCAAGGGAAGCCAATTACATGGAAGAGGAGTTGTCAAAATATATTCAAAAAAAAAAAAAGTTCACATGCTCCGGTTAGGGACTCTGAAAGTCTAGATTTTAAGTAGGTGGGGATTACAAGCTGTCCCCCAAAGCTCTCCTTAGTATCTGTGCTAAAGGTAAATGCATTCCCACTTGGCCATTTGAACTCAAGGGAAAGAACGCTAGGATGGCAGAGGGTCAGGGTTCAAATCCACAGTTTCCCCATTTGTGAGAGCTGGGCTGAGCAGCCTAAGGGCAGGTCCCTTCCTGCTCTATGGCTATGATCTCAGCATCCTTTTCTGAGTCCCAGTCTCCTCCCATGTGTGAAATGAGGCATTCCAGCCTCAGTTTCTGATCTTATGCTATGGACAAGAACTGCCTAGGGCCAGGTCTGTGACTTCCTGGCTCTGAGGGACTCCTCCATAAGGGAACTCCCATCATGGTGCAGGGTAGCAAGTCTCAGGGATTGTTTAGTGACTCACCCAGGGTCACACAACCAGGACGTGTCAGAGACAGGACACAAACCTGGGTTTTCCTGGCTTCCAGCCTGCTCTCTACCCACTGTGCTGCACTGCTGCCCATGCTCACGGGAGCCAGAAGGGAAAGTCATTGGTTGGCTCCTGGGGCATCAGCACTGCCATCGAAGGCCATGAGTGGCCCCTGGAGCACTGCTCAGAGGCCCAGGTTTTCTCTGCTCCTTCTGTTGTTTATTTGAGTATCCGGTGAACTGAGAGACCACAGTGAGCTCATTCCTGAGGGCAGGGGCCTCATCAGTCCAGAGTGAGAAGGAACTTTGGGAACTGTTGGGTCCAAACAGGTCACAGAGGAGGAAGCAGTGTTTCCTCCTTCTTCCAGATGGAACCTGGGCAGAGCGCACGGTTCTGATTCTGCCTCTGACACTTTCTGCCTGTGTGCCCTCTTCTGCCCACTGAGGGGGTGGGTCTAATGCCCTTTAGGGCTCTTTCTAGTTCCAGATCCAGTATTCCAAGGGACAGGGCCAGGATTGGAACCCGGGGCCACTGGCTCCATCTTCAGGTCCCTTTGCACTTCACTGCCCCATGAGATTGAAGCAAACGTTCATTGCCCTGAAATTACAGTGGATGGTTGATGGTAGAGATGCCTCCATCAAATACAAGGAACCTCCCTGCCAGGCCCTGTCATCCTTGACATGCCAACACCTGGCATCTTCAGCTCCTTGCTTCAATGCTTCAGTGATCCTGGAGTTCATTCATGTGGTGTTCCCTCCACCCCTCTCTGCTGGAGAGCCTGTGGGTGCCCACTGCTCCTCAGAGGGCAGACTCACAGCACATGCCAGGCACATTCCTGGTATATAGAGCAGGTAGTGGTGGTGGTGGTAGTAGTAGTAGTAGTGGTAGTAGCAGCAGCAGCAGTAGTGGTGGTGGTATCACTGTGTCTTAAGGGGGAGTAGCTAGA